GCATAACCTTAAAAGTTGCCTTACCCTTGTTGACTCAACAAAAAGCTTATTGTGTGTCTTTGGGACATAACAAACGGGTTGAAACTCTTTCATTCCTCATTTGCAAAGGTTTTGATTGAATATGCTATAATTGTGCATTGTCCACATCATCGTTTGTTAGATTTCAGTCTTCTTTTAGATGTGCCTGCAAGGTAGTTAACCTTGGTTGCGTCCTTGTACATTTGCACAATAAGTGACCCACTCAAACACATAGCACTATTAGATATACAACACTTCACATAATAACTTAGCTGTAGTGGTGCAAGAGCAAAGCAATGTATGAATATAGAAATGGTTTACTTCCAGGGTTCGAGTTATAATCTGAGTTTTATGGGGTTCTTTAAAACTAACACGTGCACACACACACACACAGCAGCAGCAGCCCTCTACTTGCTACTAACTAAAATATGAAAAGGTTCAACTACGCACACCACATAACACATCTCAGCTCGCGCAGCTCACAGGCAGAGATTGAGCAATCATTTATTGCACACTTTGGAGGTGAAGTGCAGGCATATTGTCATCAAGAGAGAATACGATGCGTAGTTCTTTTGGAAAACAGGTTTTTCTTTTAGCCTATTTACCTCGCTAACGTCAATAATACTCATTACATTGACACATGCATTATTTGTGATTAAAATAATGGTTGTTGGTAATGTATTAGCGACCCCCACGTATGATTTCACTGCTTTCATTGGAGCTCAGACCCTCCTCATCCCATTGGCTCCCACATAACTCGAACCCTGTTTACTTCTATTGAAAAAGAACATGGGTCATTTTGGAACACCGTGACTTTTCAAATGTCATCTTTTTTTTTGAGGAAATATGCTTGTGCCGCTGTGTATTTGTCACTTCAGTATGAATCAGTAATCAACAAAAAGACTATCCAAGTCAGATGTTGCAGTTTACAATAGAATACAAATAAAATAATACAAATTAGCTAAAAGGTTTGATAAAAAGGTATCTTTTATGTGGGTTTGATGCTACCCAAATACATCCGTAAAGGTCCTTACAGTATTTGTCAGTGATTATCAGCTAAATCAGTCATATTTCACTCAGCCAGATAGAGATGGGGAACCTGAAGAAAAGCAAAATAATGTGCATTTTCTGCCTTGTATAACCATAAGGGTAAAAAAGGAGATTTGGAAAAAACCTAGGTGGCATAACAACTGTTCATGGTCATGCAATGTAATCATTTCTACTCATTCAGAAGAAATGTCTAATGGGGATTTTCACAATTGACCCTCCACTCTGAGTTTCCTGTGCGAAGGAGCATGTATTTCTTTCTTCTCGAGCATAATGGCTCTTAAGACCAAAAAGTGTAGGTGGCTCAAGAGAGATTTAGCCTCTTCTGGCCACTTCATCACCAGCCTGCTGTGCACATTACCTGCTTCATATAACAGAGTTCTTTAATGGGCAATCCCAAGATTGAGATAAGAGTCTACCGACCCATATCTTGAAACAAGATGGCCTCAAGGTTATAGATAATACGGTGATAACTCAGAGATAGAGAAGATGAGGCAAAGGTTAAAAATGAATGAAAGACAGGGCATGTAAAGTAAAAAAAAAGGACAAATATAAGGGGATGCAATTCGATGCGAGTAGGGAGGATGCTGTGGTTGAAAATGATACTGGGATTATTTCTGTGGCTTATTTGTCCAATTCTAGCCACCTGGTGCATTGGTGGCAGTTGCATTGTCCCTGGCTTAGACACACTTAATTACATTTTACCTTCATATAATGTTTCAGACCAATATTGTATTTCCAATTTCCAAAATGAGTGTCTCAGCACGAATCCCCTTACGGAATGGTGTATGCGATATTGCAACTCTAACCCGTCACACCTGATCTTTCTCTGCACAGTTTAGCTAAATTATTAAAGCCTAGTGTTAGACATTAAGTAGACTGCAACTAGGGCTGTGCAATTAATCGTATTTTAATCTCGATTACGATTTTGGCTTGCAACGATTACGAAAACAACGTAATCGAAATAAAACGATTATTATTTTTATTAAAAAAAAAAAAAATGTAATTATCTTTTTTTTTTTTTTTTTTTTTTTTCAGTTGAATTATACTTAAAGTTTAGGGTAATCAACTGTTAAAAACATACTGTTCACATTTTTGTTTCAATAAATGGATGTTTTCAAAGTAAATGGATAATCGTTTTTATTAATCGTGATATCAATTATTGACCAAAATAATCGTGATTAGGATTTTTGCCATAATCGCACAGCCCTAACTGCAACACTTTCAAATGAAAGTGTCCTTCCAGATCCACTTTCTTCGCTAACTGCTTAAGCATCAATGGTTCTAGTCGAAGTATCAGTACTGACATAACATAATTGTTCTGTTATTGTTGGACAAAGAGACAGATCAATACAGACTGTCTTTTCTAAAGTAAGTTAGTACAACATATTTCATTTAGCACCTTTCATAAAGCAAGATCACAAAGTGCTTCACAAGAATACATAACAGAAAAGGATCTCCACGTCAATGGTTTTCTGCTAAATTGACCATTATTACTACACTAAATTATCTTTCTTGCTTAATACAAAAACAATGATACCCCATGTGTGTCTGTATTGCACAGTATTGCACTTAAAAGAGGGGAAAACATGACAAATGTATTGAATATTTCAGCATTTGATTATGAGATTACAAAGCAACACATATCCTTTCACACAACTGGAGCCGCTACTTGGCAATGTTTCACACATACAATGCAGGGTTGGAGTAAAAGTGTGAATAATCTTAATAATTCTATCTTTGAAATGCAGTTGGCAAAGAAAGAACAGTAAGCCGCCTTCATGTGTCCCTCAGAGCTCGAGATAACATAAGAGATTGGAGGAAGAAGCCATTTATATTTAGACTTCGACAGCAGTGGTGCTTAACTTTTATTTTGGGAAGAACATCCAACACACTGAAATCGTCCATTAGAGGCATTTATTCGCCTTTCCACAGTGGGTTCTTGTTATTGATAATTGGACTGCATTTAAATTGTGAATTTAAGGGGACTTATACATTTGAAATAATGCTTCAAAACAATTACATGAATTTGCCGTATTGGAAAATAAAGACATTAAAAGAAGTCTTCATGAGAAAAAAATAACAATGTACCCTTGATAAAAAAAAAAAGATTATCTGTAAACGCTAGCTTCTGTGAAGGCTTCTTCCCACATCAGAAATGTGCTAAGTGAATCCCTTATTTTTCTGTCAGTTCTTGAAGATAAATCTCAGTAATAAACATATGATAATCATCCTCCCCTATTTACCTGAGAGGTCTGTACGTACACGCACTTATGAAGAAGATTATCTTCAGGTTACATTTGGCATGAACATAAAAATGCAATTACCATATGTATGTATGACTATAATGGTCTTCGGGTGTTGCAAATGAAATTGAAGCCGTGTTGTCAGCTGCTTTCAGGAAGCTCATTCAGAAGATGAATTACTGAAGACTCATGGAATCAGCATCTTGTTATCACATTTGGTCGTTCTACCCATTATGGAAGAAATGTAGAAAAGTGGAAAGTGCTAATTGCATCATGGTCTTATTTGCATTTAATGTTCCTGTGGGAGGCTGTAAGATATAGATGTTGATGCATACTTATTATTTCTGATAAAATACAACTTTTCTTTGACATGTTTACTTCTCTGTACTTTCCACAGCTCACAGCTGGCTTCAACACCTTGCTTCCACAATATTGCAGGTTGTGAGAATTCACATTATGTGTAGGATGCTGCAGTGTGCCTTGCCTTTTCACTTATCAAACTCTCCCACATGTGTTTGGTGGGGAAGCAGTTAGGAGACTCTGGATTTAAGATAGTCCTGTCACAGCTTTGATGCAAGTTTTGGGTCACTGTACCGCTGGAAAATCCGCTTGAGCCAGACGAGATGGAATACCTGTTCAGAATAGACTTATCATTTTCTTTGGTCGAAGTGGAGTTGATCCTGTGCAAGTCACCCACCCACTGAACAACGGACAAATCCACATACCTGAGTGTAACCTTTACTTATATTTAAATTCAGGACTTATATGTTGTTACCTACACATTATCATTTATTAAAATCAGTAACAAATGAAAACCTGATTCAAATTTAAGGAAATAGATTAGAAAATGCTACTCAGTCGTCAATGCTCATTTGGTTCATTTGGCTTTGCTAAAGGATGTAAGAGCTGCTCTGGCGCAAATATGTCTTATAACATGGTTCACCTGATCTTTGTCTGTCTTCATTTCAAGTTGCCCTAATCTTGTTCTTGATAAAAAAGCTTATTTAGTTGTTGAAAATGTCTCCTATCCGCCTGTTCCTGCCTGCTTGTGACACAGCTGCAGTTTTGCTGAGAGAGAGTTTTTCCAACACCTTGGAGAAAAATGTGGCCTAAAATTCCATCACTGTTTGACATTGTTGCAAAGAGGCGGAGGAATTATCCAGAAGGACACAATGGTGTCGAAGTACAACAGAATAATACGATGAGGAAAATAATTGCGATATTAATTTGGAGAAAATAAAAGAGAAATATGTATTCCTTAATTTGCTAAAAGCGTTTTGTGCTGCCTAATCCTAGATCTAGAAAATTATCATATTCATGAAACCGTTATCTGATTGTAAATAATAGATGTTCATTATTGTTAATTAATAAAATTCACATTTTCAAAGACATTTATTGCATTTATTTTACTGTTTAGAAAGGAAGTCATACAAAAGTTTCAGACAGCTTATATTTGGGAAAACCCCACCTTTCACACTGTGTGTTGCAGTTGGTCCTTTAAAGTTCATATTCAAACATAGTGGCTTTAAATGACTATCTCAATAAATGATGTCTCTGAAAGGAACCTTGCACATTAGGTGATTTCAATGTAGCATGTCAGCTAACCACAACCCCTGTGTGAGATTCATACAAAAACGGGTGTAAAACTGTGACTCAAGTGTGGAAGTGAGCAAATGAAACCTCAGTTACCTCCTAGGGTGGCTGAGAGGAGTATGTGGGTTCCATATTTCTTGATGATGGTGTCGATGAACTGCTGAGTCGTGGGTCGGCGGCCCAGCAGGCGTACACTGTGCTGGAACTCAGGCATGAGCGGCACGGGGTTCCGGATCAGGTCCCTCCTCTCGATGGCTGTGTTCCTCACCTTCCAACGTGCAAATTCCCTGAGAAGAACAGGAAAAACAACCACATGGTTAAGTACATACAATCCCACCATCAGCAATCCTAGTAAAATGGCATTAATAACAGTGTGGTAACAATTCAATATGCAGACTCCATCGCACCAAATTAATGTGTGGCTAAACAATTTGCAAATGGTAAAAAAACACAAGTATTTTAATAATAAATAAAGCAGATTGAGGCTCCCAGAACTGAACATTTATAATAAAGCGAAATAATAATGATTGTGTTGCAGAAGTTTCGTTTTCAGTTGTGTCCATTTATCACTCCGATGTGAATATAAAAAAAACAGTTTTCTTGTTTGTTCTTAGACCAATGTTCTGTAATGTTTTTCATTTTTCATTTAAATTGCCTAAGATATTTTTTCTCTGTGTAAGGCTCGAACTTGAACCTTTAAGAAAAAGTATAAAAACCGCGAGTATAACTCACTGAACTACACAGGATTCTTCCCTTTTTGTGTTTGTATAAAAAATATGCTGCAAAAATATTTGTGTGGATGGTCCTGATGTGTTGTTACTGTTTGCACTAAGAAATGCATTCAGAAAACATTTCCAAGGGCAAATATTACAGGCAGTTCTGTAAATCTGAGGGTTACGAAAAAAACTAAAACAAATATCCCTGCCCTGAGGATAGAAATAGGTTTTCTTAAGCTATCTGGGATTCAAAAGGAGGCACTCGTGTTGAGTCTGGGCCTTACGCCTGGCATATCCAGGTGCTGAAAGTCAGTGATTAGGCATTCATGTACTGTAAGTATCTTTCCTTTGTTTGATCAAATTGTCAGTATAGAGAGCTGCATACAAATGGTGTTATTGTTATAAAACAAGCGGTTCCTATTCAGCATATTTTGTTTTTCAGGAAAAGCAGAGGCACATATGATTTCTGATGTATCGGTTCACTCTAAAGAAATCATTATTTAAATGCAAATTGAATAAAGAAAACTGTGATTTTCATCGCCATCTGTTCCCTCTGTCAATCACAGTTTGTTTGATATATCCAGATTGCGCACACACACACCTCCACGAAACATACATTTATTTGCATGCTGATCTTTGGTGTCGGTATTAACGTGTGACACATATGCTCACACTTTTACCTGAAAGGTGATGATGTACACATAAAGACTGGAACACTCTTCACACTGCTTAGATGAGCAAACAACTCCATAGGGAGGAAAATGTAATTTCCTGACTACAGTCTGATTGTTTTAAAAGCATTTCCACAAAATGAAATTAAGTTTAGATTGAATTTAGATATGTTTAGTGATGCAGACTTTAGTGTATGAACGATGAGGCCAATTACGGTAAGTGTTTGATTTAAAGTGCAACAAAAGCTCTATCAGATTAGGCACAAACAAAAGGCTTTATCGTCTCAATAATTCCTACCTAAAAGCCTCGTTTACTTGAAACAATTTGAGTTCTGTTCAATAAGTGGATATACGTTTTATGTGAAAAACACACTCTCACACACACACACTCTACAATAAAAAACAATCAGCAGGTTTGGAAGATTTTAGCTATGCTGTCGGATATTGCAATTAGTCTTACTAAAACAGGTATTTAATCTAAGATAAATCAAATTGGGTTATTCTTGCTGCCCACTTTAGTTCTTGAAAAAAATAGGACCGTAAGAACACAAAGAGAGCATTGAAAAAAGGGTGAACGGGTTTGTACTTGTCTTCTTATCAGTGTGAAAACAGAAGAAAATGCCTTTTTGAGATCGACTCTCAAGGTGGCTTTTTGTTCACAAGAAAATCCTGCATCCTATTCCAAAGCTCAGATTCATTGGTAGTGAGAAAAATATGTTTAAACAATAAAATAATACACACAAAGATATTATTTTCAAGTCTACATGTACAACCTTAAGTTTGATGAAATGAACTCCTTGAATCAGTACGCTGAATCTTTTCATGCGACACGGTTTCAGTCATAGATTTACTGTCTCCATAATTCTACATATGGAAGAGAGCAATAGCTGGCCTGATTTCTGCGAAAGAATATGATGTGTCTGTGTGTCCTTTACATTCCCTAATACCGCAGGTGCAACACAACTCCTGCACATTGTCTTGATTGCAATCAAAACAAACCAAGTGTAACTTATTTACATGCTTACATCATGACACAATTGCACTAGAGAATGCCAACTCATTAAAAGGTGGTTTTAGACTCAACAATGCTATTATCCCCATATATGTATTTCCTTTGCAGACTTCAGGGGCTCCCAATGCATGATATTAGAACAGCAAACTCCCTTGAAATGTTTAAAAGCAAATACAAATATTTTTAATATGGCTTTTAATTTGGGTTAACTTTCAATTCTCACTAGTATCATTGTCCATGTTTTACTGTATTTATTTTAAATTTTCTTTTTTAAATAGTTTTCTTTTAACCTATTTTAATTTCCTGTCAGCTTTAATTCAAGGGAATTTCATTAGGATCACTGTAGATGTTTTATCTTGTTCTGTACTTATTTTTATATTGTTGTTATGTTTTCTTCTTGTTGTGTAAAGCACTTTGGGCAGCTTTGTGCATGAAAGGTGCTATACAAGTTTATTATTATTATTTAGCCATGAATAGGTGGTGGCCTCCAAAGTTGAGCGTCAGTTACTCAGTTTGGATTCTCCGACACACATTCAGGGATGTGTCAGCCTGCCTGAGCACGACTTGACGGCAGCACCTTTTAATGCTCCATTCAGCACTAGCATTTAACATTGACGTCCTTTCTGCCAGTTATCACACAACTTCATAATGTAGCCAAGATTTCAAAGGTAATATCTTGATAACTCTCTCAAGGAAAAGGTCCTTTTACACACTAGCAGGGTTGCCTTACATAGGGGCTGAGTGACACTTCAGTGTGGTGCCAGTCAGTAAGGAGAAGAGGCATTTCAATTGAAGGAACTTGGATTTTAGCGACATTTTGCCAAACAAATCAATACAATAGGTTTTTGCTTTTGGCCAGTAGCCGACCATCCAATTTCAATTTTTCCCTCCAAGGGTGAAGGTCTGCCCCTGAAGTATAATAACAAAAACGATTGAATGATTGCTAATAACATTACATGCTTTTACAACTGACAGGAGAACGCTGCAGCACTTTTTTCTTACTCTGTCTGATCTCTAAAATCATCGAGTAAAGTTTTTCCAACCTGATATTCCATTAAGGCTTTGGGGCAGACTTGCTGAGGTTTTCTTTTGAGTACTTTGCAATTCCTCAAAGACACAAGTCCTCATCTAGGGGGACAGGCCTCAGCACTCATACTAGTACATGCTGACTCAGCTTTCACTCTTGCTCCATGACTTAGCTTTATTAGAAGTACATGCTGGCTGTTATTTCTGAACTATGGAGCAAACATTCAATCAGGAGAACTGCGAGAAGCCTTCAGATTTGCAGCAGATGTACCAACATATCCCTCCGTTTATTCATTCCCCATCTCTCTCTCTGTGCCCCTCCCTGCTGCCACGTCCCGTATCAATTCATTTCCAGTGAATCCTCCTCATGGCTCCGTCACTGCCAATTATTATATAAAACTTTATATGGCAGCCATATGTACTGGTGCTCTTCTGCCCCAAATTAGACATGCCAGCAGATGGATCCTGCGACATGATTCAGTGATTCACTCCACAGCTCCAAGACTGTCTTTAATGACCTATCAAAGGAGGTTAAGAGGAGATAAATGGCATTGCAGAAGTATAGGGGGGAAATGGGAACGTAGGTGATTATTGCTTTACGGTGTTCAAGTAACTCATGTGGGAGGCTGGGTTTATTACATTTGCGTGAAGAAGTGACCTACAGAGAATACACAAACATGATATGGATATTGAGGACTCATGAATACATACGGTACTTGTTCTCCTTTTTTCTCAATGCTAACTACAAATGGCACTGACAACCTTGAATATTTGGGAATATTTGAATAGTGGACGATCCAAAAAAGGCTTACACACCTGTGAATTATAATATTCTGTATTGATACTTACATACTGTAGATGTATGTATTCTAACAAACACCTAGGTCTAGGCATTTAATGAGGTATTCATATCAAGCTTTTGAATGTCTTGCTTCATAACCCTTAGAAATATTGGATTGGATATATTTAGCTTTATATTTTTGTATTTTATGGTGCTGTTAGATTAGTGCTAATGGTGCCCTTTAATACCGGTGTTGCTCTCCTTTTGTGTGCAGCAAGAGAGAGAGCAAACCGCTTTCAGACCGCAGAGAAAATGCTGTCAATTTTAATGTTATTTAGAAAGGCTAAACGCCAATAAAAATTGATTAAAACTGAACATTGTGTTGCATGAAATCATGTTGTCATTTTGGACATAATTGCATCTATTTCTTAAACATTCTGACATTCTGGTTTTATTAATAATGTTGGGAAAACTCCAATTAGAAGAAATCTACACAGCCGCAGCTGGAAATGAATTCTTAAAGTAGTAGTAATAATACTAACAATATTAATGTAGATTAATCTTTGTCTGCAGCTGTGTAGAAATACCGGACAGAATGGATGAAATAATTATCGAATCTTGACTCAGAATTCAATTAAAACGTTATGAATACAGTTCTGAAATATCTTTGGAGAGCCTTACAAGCAACATTTTGGCATTCTGAACAAAGATTTCCCTCTATAGGACTCGGTTTTTCTTCTTTGAAACGTCTTCTAAAGTCGGTTAATCCCTCAGAGCCCTCATTGAGACCACCATTTTATCTGAATACTTTCCAATGTTTGTATCTTCACAGTCCGATAAATGTGGACAGTGGATGCTAGGAAATATGTTATTATAATCAAACAGCCAACCTTTCCATTTCAACTCAAAATGACTTAGAAAGAGGAGATTGTTTTTCACTAGGGATTGTAATAATGTTTGGAGCGCAGACATTCAGAGCTTCACTATGGAAGTCAACACCTGATCAATAAAGCCAGTTAGAATAGCTTTATTTAGTTTTCACATTAAATATTGATATTAAAGTCCTGCTCCTTCCTTCTTA